AGAGAACTCTGATACAACTTAATTAAAGGTAGAACAGTTTACATGAAACTATGAACATAAACCAGGGTGTCATCTGCTGCTGTTGTCATAGAAATAATCTCAATAACCAGTCAGAAAATAAATAGTTAAATTACAAAACAATATTTTTCAGCAAACTGCATAAAGAGACGATGCCATTGCTTTGTCACTGCAGGTACTACTCCCAGAGTATCCAGTCGCTGTGGCCAGCTGCAGTAGAAAAAAAATAGAAGTTCCAGGTAAATTAAAAAGCTTCTGAATGTCTTGGAATGAGCTAACCCCCTACTCCAGAAATATCATCAAGTGTGTACACCCTTATTACTCCATGCGAGAATGAATTCGCCCTCCTATTTGTAGGCCATAGTTATGAAATATGGGTGAATGAAAGCCAGTTTGATGTACATTTGCACAACTTATTTGCCTGTTGCCAGGCAGAAATCAGCTCAGTGATGATGCAGCCAAACATAGTTTTGGATTGTTTGGGAGGAATATTGGAATAAATTACATCTTGTAGCCTGTGAACAATGTTTTGTTCAATTGGGCGCCAGCAAACCATGGCAGTAGGATCCAACCATTAAGAGAGAGGCGCAACATGTATGACCAGTAATACCATACAATACCAAATTCTGGACTCCCAGTCCGCCTTCGCTTTTTGCTCTCTGGAGAGTTTTTTTCCCCACAAATTGTAAAATAGCTGATTGTAGTTCTTTCCAATAGCCACTAGGTGGTGGCAGAGGAAGCATAGAGCTGAAAAAATGTATGCGTGGGAGAACGTTCATTTTGATGACTGAGATGCAAGAATGGAATGAGAGGGGTGAGTTGTTCTAGGTCGGTCCTAACCTCTACAAGCACTTTTTGTAATTAAGAGACATTAAGTAACTGAGGGCTGTTACGTTCCCCAAGATGACTAGGGTATAAGGGAGTAACAATAAATTATAACCCAGGGAAAAGAAATAGAACTAAATATAAGCAAAGTTAAAATGGATTCATTAACAAACTAAAACAAAACGCGCAACACAAAACAAGCTTCTTCTAAAAACACAAAAACAATAAAACAGTAATAAATAAAAAGCCCTTTATCAGAACACAATCCTTCCACAGAAGGCTCACACTTAAGTAGTCAAAGACACATGCAGTCCAACAACCCACTGGTACTGGCATCCTCCTCTCTCCTGCGCTTTATAGTTTGCCCCTGATTAGTAATTAGCCACAGGTGTGGCTGGGCACTCGAGGCTGAGGAGCAACACCTGGGGAGCACACACAGGCGAGAGAAAACACACACAAAACTACGACATGTAACAGGGGCTGATAATGACCCTCAAATATTTGAAGTTCTGAACCACTGGGATGTTAGATGGGTAGCCACTAATCCTGCAAGTGTATTCAGAGGGAGTAGTGCTGATTTCCCCCAATTAATTTAGTATCCAGAGATCTGGCTGAAGTTATTAAAGATATTTAAGAGGTGGGGAAGAGACTGTGGGATATTTTGAGCAAAGAGTAATATGTCATCTGCATACAGAGAAATGTAATGCTTGGTATCATGAATAAAAATAGATTCATGGGGAATGGATAGCCGAATGGCCTGGGCTACGGGTTCCAGAGATAAGACAAAAAGCAGAGGACACCTAGTCCTAACACCGTGTCCTAACACCTTGTCCTAGCACCGTGTCCTAACACCTTGTCCTAACTCCGTGTCCTAACACCTTGTCCTAACTCCGTATCCTAACACCTAGTCCTAACACATGTCCTTACACCTTGTCCTAACTCCGTGTCCTAACACCTAGTCCTAACACCGTGTCCTAACACCTTGTCCTAACTCCGTGTCCTAACACCTTGTCCTAACACCGTGTCCTAACACCTTGTCCTAACTCCGTGTCCTAACACCTAGTCCTAACACCGTGTCCTAACACCTTGTCCTAACTCCGTGTCCTAACACCTTGTCCTAACACCGTGTCCTAACACCTTGTCCTAACTCCGTGTCCTAACACCTAGTCCTAACACCTTGTCCTAACACCTAGTCCTAACACCTAGTCCTAACTCCGTGTCCTAACACCTAGTCCTAACACCGTGTCCTAACACCTTGTCCTAACTCCGTGTCCTAACACCTAGTCCTAACACTGTGTCCTAACACCTTGTCCTAACTCCGTGTCCTAACACCTAGTCCTAACACCGTGTCCTAACACCTTGTCCTAACTCCGTGTCCTAACACCTAGTCCTAACACCGTGTCCTAACACCTAGTCCTAACACCTTGTCCTAACACCGTGTCCTAACACCGTGTCCTAACTCCGTGTCCTAACACCTAGTCCTAACACCGTGTCCTAACACCGTGTCCTAACACCGTGTCCTAACACCTTGTCCTAACACCTTGTCCTAACACCTAGTCCTAACACCTTGTCCTAACACCGTGTCCTTACACCTAGTCCTAACAACTAGTCCTAACACCTTGTCCTAACACCGTGTCCTAACACCTTGTCCTAACTCCGTGTCCTAACACCTAGTCCTAACACCGTGTCCTAACACCTTGTCCTAACTCCGTGTCCTAACACCTAGTCCTAACACCGTGTCCTAACACCTTGTCCTAACTCCGTGTCCTAACACCTAGTCCTAACTCCGTGTCCTAACACCTAGTCCTAACACCTTGTCCTAACACCGTGTCCTAACACCGTGTCCTAACTCTGTGTCCTAACACCTAGTCCTAACTCCGTGTCCTAACACCTAGTCCTAACACCGTGTCCTAACACCTTGTCCTAACTCCGTGTCCTAACACCTAGTCCTAACACCGTGTCCTAACACCTTGTCCTAACACCTTGTCCTAACACCTTGTCTTAACACCTTGTCCTAACACCTTGTCCTTGTCCTAACACCTTGTCTTAACACCTTGTCCTAGCACCTTGTCCTAACACCCTGTTTCTAGTTTCCTTTCTGTTGCTGGCTTAGACATGAGCGAGTAAGAAGGGCGCTGGAAAAGGCCCCGGGAGTGTCCTCCAGAAGACTTTACTTTATCATTTGTTTTTCTCACTCAGCAGAACTCATAGATTTATGAAGTGGCGATGATGGTGTATTCATTAAATCCAGATCTGTGACTGAAATGTTTTAGTTTGATTTGTTTCAACACGGAGGAAAAACTTTATTCTGCTCACCGACATCAGCGGCTCGTCAAAAAGCATCACACTTCTGTATGAACACTTTCAAAATAAAAGTGATAAATGTCCTACTGTTTACAAGGAGAAACTGAAATCACAGGGCAGAAGATTAAATATTCAGTGGATTCAGTGTGGACACACACACACACACACACACACACACACACACACACACACACACACACACACACACACACACACACACACACACACAGCTAGCAGTTGGAAACAGTGGAACATCAGACTCCCACTGTTGACAGGGGTGATTTACAAGCACATACACAGCCCTGTGTGCAACTTATACCTCTCTCTCTCCCTCCCTCTCTCTCTCTCTCTCTCTCTCTCTCTCTCTCTCTCCCTCCCCCCCGCCTCTCTCTCTCTCTCTCTCTCTCTCTCTCTCTGGGGTTACTGGGGAGTACTGGGGTTCCCTCACACTCACTGGGAGTCAGAGGAGAAGACGAGGAAGCAGCGTAGGAATCTATTTTTATTAGCTGATTATCTATTTAATCCTGAGGCGGCTGGTTCAGAGAGAGAGAGAGATCAGAGTGCACACACACACACACACACACACACACACACACACACACCTGCAGACTAAACACAAATACCTGTAGAGAAGAACGTGCAAACAGTCATCATGTTCAGCTACGGACGGAAAAACTTCACTTGGAACGGGACTCTGAGAGAGCTGGAGGGCAGCTGCACTGCCTTCTGCACAGGTAGGGACATGGTGTGTGTGAGTGTGTGTGTGTGTGTGTGTGTGTGTGAGAAAGAGAGAGAGACAGAGAGCTGCTGTTGTTTTCCATGTATAGATGGATGGTGTGTTTTATGTCAGAAAGAGAGCTGCAGATTCATCAGGGCAGAGCAGCACTCAGAACAAGAAAATGTTTCATGTGTTATCATGTTTCAGGTGTTAGCATGTTTCAGGTGTTAGCATGTTTCATGTGTTATCATGTTTCAGGTGTTAGCATGTTTCAGGTGTTAGCATGTTTCATGTGTTAGCATGTTTCATGTGTTAGCATGTTTCAGGTGTTAGCATGTTTCAGGTGTTAGCATGTTTCATGTGTTAGCATGTTTCATGTGTTATCATGTTTCAGGTGTTAGCATGTTTCAGGTGTTAGCATGTTTCATGTGTTAGCATGTTTCATGTGTTAGCATGTTTCAGGTGTTATCATGTTTCAGGTGTTAGCATGTTTCAGGTGTTAGCATGTTTCATGTGTTATCATGTTTCAGGTGTTAGCATGTTTCAGGTGTTAGCATGTTTCATGTGTTAGCATGTTTCATGTGTTAGCATGTTTCAGGTGTTAGCATGTTTCAGGTGTTAGCATGTTTCATGTGTTATCATGTTTCAGGTGTTATCATGTTTCAGGTGTTAGCATGTTTCAGGTGTTATCATGTTTCAGGTGTTAGCATGTTTCAGGTGTTAGCATGTTTCAGGTGTTAGCTCGTTTCAGGTGTTATCATGTTTCAGGTGTTAGCATGTTTCAGGTGTTAGCTCGTTTCAGGTGTTATCATGTTTCAGGTGTTAGCTTGTTTCAGGTGTTAGCTTGTTTCAGGTGTTAGCATGTTTCATGTGTTAGCTTGTTTCAGGTGTTAGCATGTTTCAGGTGTTAGCTCGTTTCAGGTGTTAGCTCGTTTCAGGTGTTATCATGTTTCAGGTGTTAGCATGTTTCATGTGTTATCATGTTTCAGGTGTTAGCATGTTTCAGGTGTTAGCTCGTTTCAGGTGTTAGCATGTTTCAGGTGTTATCATGTTTCAGGTGTTAGCATGTTTCAGGTGTTAGCATGTTTCAGGTGTTAGCATGTTTCATGTGTTATCATGTTTCAGGTGTTAGCATGTTTCAGGTGTTAGCTCGTTTCAGGTGTTAGCATGTTTCATGTGTTAGCATGTTTCAGGTGTTATCATGTTTCAGGTGTTAGCATGTTTCAGGTGTTATCATGTTTCAGGTGTTATCATGTTTCAGGTGTTATCATGTTTCAGGTGTTATCATGTTTCAGGTGTTATCATGTTTCAGGTGTTATCATGTTTCAGGTGTTAGCATGTTTCAGGTGTTAGCATGTTTCAGGTGTTAGCATGTTTCAGGTGTTAGCTCGTTTCAGGTGTTATCATGTTTCAGGTGTTAGCATGTTTCAGGTGTTAGCTCGTTTCAGGTGTTATCATGTTTCAGGTGTTAGCATGTTTCAGGTGTTAGCTCGTTTCAGGTGTTAGCATGTTTCATGTGTTAGCTTGTTTCAGGTGTTAGCTTGTTTCAGGTGTTAGCATGTTTCAGGTGTTAGCATGTTTCATGTGTTAGCATGTTTCAGGTGTTAGCATGTTTCAGGTGTTAGCATGTTTCAGGTGTTAGCTTGTTTCAGGTGTTAGCTTGTTTCAGGTGTTAGCATGTTTCAGGTGTTAGCATGTTTCATGTGTTAGCTTGTTTCAGGTGTTAGCATGTTTCAGGTGTTAGCATGTTTCAGGTGTTAGCATGTTTCAGGTGTTAGCATGTTTCAGCTCCATCCTTTCTAAGTATTTAAACTAAACGACGAGTCTCATCGATGATTCTACAACTCTCTTATCAGACTCTTTTATCCAAAGCGACGTACATCAGAGAGTAAGAACAACACAAGCAAGGATCTAGAAAAAAGGGAACAATGTCAGTAAGAGCAAACGATCAGCTTTGAGTCTGATTGGACACACAGGTGCTGACAGGAAGTGACCAGAGGCAAAGCACAACATTGAGGGCAGTTCTTGAGAGCTCTAATCAGTATAGAAACCATCTTATAAGTCGTCGTTATCAAACAAAAACCATCGTCATTACCATCATCATCATCAATAATATGGAGACCATCATCATTAAGTTAGTAGGTATTCATGAAAGAGCTGGCTCTTTAGCTTTTTCTTAAAGGTGCAGAGGGACTCTGCAGATCACATGGAGTTTGGAAGTTCATTCCACCACCGGGGGGCGACAGAGGACAAGAGTCTAGTCAGAGACTTAGGACCCTGTTGTGAAGGTTGGATCAGACACCTTTCATTGGCAGAGCGTAGTGGGGGGGGGGAGTGTAGACCTGGATCAGAGAGTTAAAGTAAGGAGGAGACGTTTCTGTGTCTGTTTTGTAAGCGAGCAGCAGAGTTTTAAATTTGATGTGAGCAGTAACTGGGAGCCAGTGTGAGGAGATGAACAGAGGAGTGACATGTGCTCTTTTAGGAAGGTTGAAGACCAGTCGTGCTGCTGCATTTTGTATCATCTGCAGGGGTTTGATAGTGCATGTAGGAAGACCTGCCAGTAGAGACATCACAAGAGCCTGTACCAGGAGCTGTGTAGTTCTGACAGGTAAGGTCTGATCTTCCTGATGTTGTTCAGGGCAAATCCACATGACCGGGCAATCGAGGCTACTTGAACCTTAAAAGTTAGCTGGTCATCAATCATGACACCCAGGTTCCTGCAGACTTTGTGGGCATGAGTTTGGTTGTTCCAAGCTGGATATTGATCTGTGGTTGCATAGAGGGACTGGCTGGGATGACAAGGAGCTCAGTCTTTGAAAGATTGAGTTGAAGGTGCCGTTCATTCATCCATTCAGAGATATCAGCAAGGCATGATGAGATTCTTGCAGAGACTGTAACATCGTCTGGCGGGTTTGACAGGAAGAGCTGGGTATCGTCAGCATAGCAGTGGTATGAGAAGCCATGAGAGCTGATTATTCTGTATATGGAGAAGAGAAGGGGACCAAGCACTGACCCTTGAGGTACCCTGCGGATAAGCTGTGCGCTTTGGACACTTCTCCCTTCCACGACACTCTAAAGGATCGCCCAGAGAGGTAGGACACGAACCAGCAGAGGGCAGATCCTGAGATGTTCAGAGAGCGTGGACAGGAGGATTTGATGGTTGACTGTGTCAAAGGCAGCAGACAGGTCTAGTAGTAATAGAACTGAGGACTGACCCGCAGCTCTGGCAGCTCGTAGTGATTCTGTTACTGACAGGGTTAGAGTTAGTGCAGTTTCAGGAGAGTGGCCCCGCTTAAAGCCTGACTGATTTGGGTCAAACAGATCGTTTCTGGACAGGAACTCAGAGACTTGCTTAAAGACTGTGTGCTCAAGTATTTTTGACAGAAAGGGCAGAAGAGAAACCGGTCTGTAGTTTTCAGCCTGGGCTGGGTTTAGTGTGGGTTTTTTGAGCAGAGGGGTGACCCGAGCTTGCTTGAATGCGGTGGGGAACACACCCGTTGACAGAGAGGAGTTGATGATATGCTTAAGTGCAGCATTAAGCAGAGAGGAAATGGTCTGCGGGAGGCTTGATGGTATTGGGTCCAGAGGACAGGTGGTGGGCCGAGAGTCTAGCACAAGCTTAGAGACTTCATCCT